TGCCCTCCAAGCCTCTATCTGGCCCTTGGGGTGCTCCCCAGCCACACCCCTTCTCCCCAAGCTATGCCCCTCACCAGTCCTGCTTTGCACCCTCTTGAGTATTTTTGCCTGGTGGGACTGAGTCTTTGAAGTCTGATAATGCTCCTTGCTTGCCCGGGTGGAGAATGGAGAGAACGGTGCAAGTGTCTGCAGAAATTCACAGAGGTAAAAATTCACATTTGTTTCTCCGCCCCCTTCAGCCTCTGGCTCCACCCACCACTGGCAGGTGGCCCTCAGACTCCCTGCCCCATTCTGTGAATTAATAGAAAGAGAGCAATTTAATGAATTGCCATTGTGTGTGTGTAAAGGATTAAACACCTGCTCACCACTTCTCCAGTTGAATTTTGAGTTTCATGTGAGATAGAAAGTGTCTAGTCCAGATCACCAAGTGAGCAGAGATTTGAGCCTGGGCCTGTCCTGCCCTAGTCCCAATCACTCCACCCCATAGTCTTCGCCCTCTTTTCCCTGGAATCTTTCATCCTTTGCAAAACGTGTTTAATGTGAGTTTCAAGTGAAACGGGAAGTGGCACAGTACGACGACTTCTCTTTCTCAGGTTTTGAAGAGAGAATTGGAGAGCCACTTAGAGTGCTGAAAAAAGGCCCAGCTGAGAAGGGAGATGAAAGAACAGAGAAGGAGCAAGTGACAACCCTGATGACAGCAGCGGATGCTAATCAGGTAAACTGAACAATGCACGGTATCCTGGTGATGCTTTCTTTAGAAAACGTGTCATGAAAGGAAGGAAATATTTGTTGATGTCTTTTTGGCCGTAGCTCCCACCTCGATAATCTATTCTGAATATTTCAGAATACATTATTTTACATTAGGAAGAACTTCCTGACAGTAAGAGCTGTTTGGCAGTGGAATGGGCTCCCTCAGAAGGTGGTGGACTCTCCTTCCTTGGAGGTTTTTAAACAGAGGGTGGATCAGTCATCTGCTATGGATTCTTTAGGTGTGATTCCTGCATTGCAGGAGGTTGGAGTCTCTTCCACAATGCTACAATGCTATGATTCTATTTCCTTTACCCTCCCAGCTTCAAAGCAGTGTTTCCAGAACAGATCCCAACTTGACCATAGAGAGGACTGCGAAGCTGGAAATGGCTGACGCTTTAGACCTCAGTGAGAACATGGTATGAAAATGAAGAATGTGTTAAAGTACTTTGGGGTGGGCAGCCGGGGCTTTGTGTTGCAGAGGACATCAGAGCATGCAGTCCTCTCCTGATCTGTGTCTAGGGGCAGAGATGTGCTCCCAAGAGAGCGTGCTACAAATACTGTTATTACCATGCGCTTACATCAGCGATGGTGTCAGGTTTGAGCCCGCCCATCAGCAAGTGCCCTCAAGTACCCACCCCATCCCCTGCCTTCAGCAGGCTTCCCCTTGCCATGGTGGCAAGACTGGCAGCGAGCAGCCGCATTGCAGTCTGCAGGATGTGGCTGTGAGCAACCCAAAAGTTTTTTAAAAATCTACCACAGTGCCCAGAACCATCCTCTACCAGCATGGCCTGGGGTCAGATGGGCATGCCTTTCCAGGGCAGATTGGCTTCAGCAAATTCCCAAAGGTGCCAGAAGCTGACACTGACCTTCATTTGCATCAGGGCTGAGAAACCTCAGACTGGGGGGGGGGGAGCAAACCAAATGTGGCCCTCCAGGCTTCTCTTACCTGAACTCCTGCCAGGCCACCTCCGCTTCCTTCCTCTAGATCAAGTGTGTCTGCCTGGATGGATTATACAGGGAGGTGTATGTAGGGTGAGCCGTGTCTAGAAACCTCTGACATAACAAGGGTAAGAGTCATATCTGTGGCTGCACCCAATTCTGCCTCTGGCCCTACCCATCGCTGACATGTGGCCCCCAGAAGGTTACCCATGAGGGAGTACGGCCCTCAGGCTGAAAAAGGTACCCTGCCTCTGGTTTACAAGGCTGCATAGTACTGATCATAGCCCTCCTATGGATTACAGGTGGGTGAACCAGGAAGATGAGTGGGTTGCTCACTTAGCTCTGCAGCTTCAGTGGTAATGCAAAGCGAAGACATCCACTTGCTTTCAGAGTGGGGGTTCTTTTTCCAGCTTGGGAAAATCCTGCCATTCTCGCTGATAGTTTGCTCCCTACTCTTTCCCTCCAGTACCTCAACCTGATCCAGGATCTCGCCAACCTGGTGAACGTCAAGGAGCTGACGGGGATGCAGACGGTGAAGCACCTTCCTTATGATGAGAGGGAGAAGCTTGGGGTGCGACGGCAGAAGGACCTTGGGCTGCTCTTCGACAAGATCAGGAAGCTCAAGGATCGCCTCGAGAGGAAAGAGTCGCTGCTGAAAGAGTACGAAAGGGACGTCGGGCAGTTCAGGTACAAAGGTGACACGCGCACACAGTGTCTTTTGGGCACTTTCTTTTTCAAAGAGCCTATTCTGTATGAATTTATGTCCCGCCTTTTCCCTCGATGGACTCAAGTCAGCTTCCAGATAAAATAAGAACTGCTAAAATTACATAGGGGAAGTGGTAAACCAGTCATTCAAAAACCACTAAACATTAATAGAATTAAAACACTCTCTTTATCTCTCTCTCTTTATCTCTCCTCATCCTCTATATATATTAATAATGAGAAATATCTATTTTTTAAAAAAGAGATGATTGCAATAAAAATGGCATGGCACCAGCCCTTTAATTAAGGGGAGACTCTTAATTAACTCAGTCTGTGTCTGTATTGGATTTGAAATTATTTATATATATATATTTGATTCTTCATTTTTTAATTAATGATTTTATCAAGTTTCTGTTAATTTTGAACTGTTTCATGGAAAGGGATTCAGAAACGAAATGAAATAGATAAGGTAGCGCTTGATAAATTTGTCATGATTGAAGCTCATTCCATTTATTATGAGGGGTGGTGGCATGTATTCATTTTTTTCTGGGTGTTTCTTTACCATCCACTCAGCGGTGTCCCTCAGTGCAGTTAAATATAGCGTCATGCCTGAACATTGTCTATAGGCGACTAAAGAGTTCCTGTAGGTGACCAAGCAGGAGTGCTTTTAGGAATTCCAAGCACTGGTTTTGTTGATTAGTAACTTCTAATGACTTGCTGATTTCGCTTATGTAAGCTTCAGGGTAATGTTTCCCTTTTATAATGTGGGTTGCAACACACCAAACTTCCAGCTTACCTGTCTGTCTCATCGCACAGGACAAACAAGCAGACTCTGCAAGCCTGCCAGTCTGAGCTGGCCAAATTGGCTGACAAGATCTACCGAGAAGCTGAAGAGAAGGCTTTGCTGAAAGAAGCTCTGGAGAGGACTAAATTGCAGCTGACTCAGGAGAAGAAGCTGAACAGGGCTCTTAAACAGCACAAGGTTGGTAACAGAGATCCACAGCGCCACTGGCAAACCTCTGCACAGCTACACTGCCGGTGTGAAGGCCGTTTAGCAACCTCTGCACTTGGCCAGGTGTCATTTGACAGCATCTTCCAGGCCGCTGCTGTGTTTGTATTTTGCTCGCCCCTTGGGGAGGAGAACTGGCTGAGCAATGGGGAGGGTTTGTGTGCCACCCCCTAGGGCCAAATCTTGAAGGGTCGCCATCATCCCAGGGGAAAAATCCAGCTCAGCTTCATTCACGGGGCGAAAGGAGAACAGAATGCAGTCAATTGGGGATAGGAGGCAGGAGGCAGAAGGGACAGAGAAAGTCTTTTCCACATAGGGACCCTTTGCACAGAAGCTAGTTCAAGCAGCCTTGTAAGTAAGCCCGCCTCCATCAAGTTCCTAGACTGCAGAAAAAGATACTACTTCCCTGCTGGGGGCTCGCAGAAAGGGTAATGGAGAGCTGTGTACTGCTGGGTGCCAAGGAATAGGCTTTTTTTCTCTAGGCTCCCACTTGGTTTCCACATTAGCTGTAGAGGAGAGATGGAACATTCTCCTGCCAGCCCCTCACTCTTCTGCATGGAACTCTGTGTGCTCACCCACATGCTACCCCTGGCCGCCTATGGCTACCAGGCTAGTGCTTAAATGTAAGGGTGAGTTTTTGGGGAGAGGAAGACTCTCCTGGTCTGCTCGTCTTCCATGGCCACGAGTATCAGGACTGGGGATCTTCCTGGTTGCACGAGCTGCCATATGATTTTCAGTTTCAGGGGCATGTGGGCTGCTCTGCCCAGTCTAGACCACCTGCCCACCAAGCAAGACTATGCCAGTTAAGGCCACTGTGCAACAGGTTGTCTTACCATTCAGCAGCTGTAGGATATAGGAAGTTATCGTATGCCAAATCATATTATGGGTGCACCTCGTTCTGTATTGTCTACCTTGGCTGGCAGCAGCTGTCCAAAGTGTCAGACAGGGCTCTGTCCTAGTCCTACCTGAAAATGTCAGGGGTTGAGCTTGGGACCTTCTGCAGGTAAAGCACTCTTTCAGTCACTTTTTGCAGAAAAGTCATACAATGCCATCACCAATATGTTACATTCTGTGTCTCTTTCCTGATCTGTGATAACCAACCTCCTTTTAAAATGCAACTGCAGCGCCTGTTGATTAGGAAAGTGCTGCTGAGGGCCTTCAGGACTTCTGTGCCTCTAATTAGAAACTTCCTTCTTTCAGCTTCGCCCCCTGTAATTGCTTCCTGTTCAGCACTAGTTGCTGCTTAATTAATGAGCTCCTGTTCCCCGGAGAGTGGTTTTATTGGTCTGCTCTCCTTATTTATTTCCTTCATGCTGTTAAACTTGCTAATTAGGGGGGAATTGATTAGTAACCCTGCGGCTGCACTGAAGCGAGTAACAACACAAGCAGGGAAAGCTTTTAATTTAAGTTGCAGGCAACCTTTGGAGAATGGAACTTACTTGTGAACTTACTTGTGAACTTACTTGTGAACGAACATGATAGAAGCATCTTGGCCACCAGGATAGACATTTCCAGATCTAATGGTGCTATCTTAAGTGCCATTTTCGTTCCAGGTTGAGCTTGACTGCTGAAAAGCATCTCCTCCACAGCATTAAGGAGACCTTAGTATGAAAGCAGCCTTTCTATTTCTGTATTTCTGTAGGGTGAACAGGCTTGAAGGCATCACTTAGGAGCAAGGAATGAGAAATCCCTGTACTTGGAGAAACCCATAGTCACACGCCATCGAGTTCTGTCCTAATCCCCGATGCTAGAGATGGAGTATTGTTAGGGCATCTCTCTCTCTCTCTTATTAAAGGCAGCAGGTTGCTGGGGCTTGACTTGCAAACTGAGTTAGGTGACAATTATATACACAAGTGCACATTCCTAATTGCTTTAGGCTGCAGTCCTTCACTGACTGACATCCCTGCCAGCTTAACTGAAAACACAGAGACTTATTCCAGCGCACTCGACCAACACAGCTCGGAGAAAAGCGACGGCTGCATTGTTTCTTAGCTCTGTTGCTTTGCCAGAGAGAGATTTGCCATTTGTTCCCTGCTGTTTCCACCCTAGAATCAGTTAGAGGAGAGGAAGAGTGAGATTTCGTCATGTTACGCCTGCACTCTGAAATTCAGGGATAGCAAGGTAGGAAATTGCCTGGCCAGTGTAGTAAGAGTGCCTCTTAGCCGACAAGCCATAAATGAAGATAGTTGGATAATATAAGTGGGGAGGGGGAGGTCCTGAAGAGCAGGGGTATCATTGTGGAAACCTGCTTGCTTTTTCAGAAAGCCCTCAACTTCGTTTTGTGTGTTCTTGGCCCACCAGGCCATTTTCCCCAAACCACACCACTTGCCCCACAACTGGCATCATATGTGATATCCGGTGTGGGGCAGGTAGGAGTGCAGCAGCAAGATCGAGCTCCTCGCACACCATCTGATACGGCAAGGATTTTGGTCCTGCTTGGTTTGGGTGTGTGAGCATGTTCCCTGGGAGGAGCCTGCTGGCACACCCATCCCTGAGTTCATCAGATGATGGGCAGAGAGTTTAACCCTGCTTGGTTTGAGTACATCCACAGGGAAGTCGCTAGTGTGCTGAGAGCTTGAGGAGCAGGACTGAAACCCTTTGAGTTACCCTTTGTGGAGAATTCAATCCTACTCGGTTGCTCTTTGCCCCCACCCCCGCAAGCTGGTTTTTGACAGGCATTTGACTTGCCGTTTTTGCTAAAGTATAAATGTAGAAGCACACACATGCATTTTGCTCTGTATCTTCCCTTCTCTGTCTTATGCAGATGGCAGCCCCTAAGAAACCATTCCCTGAAAAGCAGGTGGTTGCGGGGCCAGGAGCAGCCTGTAAGAAACGAGTGCACTGCAGCACCTCTGCGTAGGAACAATTCTGCTTACCCAAGGAAAGCGACAGAGAAGGAAGATTCTGGCCAGCTCCTTGTCTAAGCTTGTAAATAGAAGATGCTGCTACAACATTGCATAAAACACCTGGTGTCTTATTATACAGAATTTATTTATATACATATATGTATATGTATAGACTTATTTGTACAGATAATACTCATATATGGTACATTGTATCTTGATTACGAGAAATGTATAGAGACTCAACTCAAAATTATGTATAAATTCTTAAGATCTTCCGATACCTGTAACAGGGTTTTTTGTGGGGGAGGGAAGAGAGATGGATTGTATCCCGTGTTAGTCCTACTCAAAGTAGACCCATTGATGGCGGTAGTCATGACTAACCTAGGTCCATGAATTTCAGTGTGTTACTTTTGAGTAGGACTTGGTTGGATGCAACCTTTTGTCCAATCTGGAATCCCATCTTTTGGAATCGTGGATCTGGTTCTTTTGTACATCATCATTTGACAGATTTTATTTATTATGCATGCCTGCATGGTGGGGAGGTTGAGCTAGATGATCCTTGAGGTCTCTTCGAAATCTGCCTCCCACCTTAGACGAAGGTTTGCAGGAGTATTTCAGCCAAGCATGGGAAAAGGCACCAAGTCAGACAGCAGATCACCAGGACCACAGCTAGCAAAAACAGGAGATACCAAGCACCAAGCTCACAGAGGAGTAGCTTTGAATGTTGGCCAAATGCTGATCTGGAGTCAACTGAGAGTTTTAGTAAGTCCTACAAAGGGAAAGTTTTTCATTCAGAGGCATCTCTATATAAAGTTGAGAAAGTCTTTTGTCCTCAACCCTGAAGAGCCACAACCAGTGCTTTTTTTCCTAAAGAAAATATTTAGGGGTACTCTCATTTTGACTCCAGAAAATCACCATTTTATAGTTCAAATCAGGAAAAATAAATACAGTAAATGGACAAAAGTACAAAGATTCACAAAATGTTTAGGGGTATGCGTACCCCTGCATACCCCACCCCCAGAAAAAAAGCACTGGCCACAACCATTGTAGGCAATCCTGAGCAAGATGAATCTACAGTGTGACTTGGTATAAGGAAACTTCCCATGTTCCTAAACTTTGCAAAAGGTGGAAGGGATTAACTTCCTGTGTTCCTATGCAGGTCTGAGCCTGGTCAGTGCTTGGACGGGAGACCGCCTGGGTACCACGATAAAAGACATGTGGCATACAAAGCACATATAAAAGACGGAACTGTGTCACTGATAACTGTTGCCTTCGCAGTTGGGGGAAGCCCAGGGAAAGATCAGGGGAATTGATCTCCTGGGAGAAATCATTAGGATGTTTTACATACAGATGTGCTGATAACCAAGAACCTTTCTGGTTTACTCCAGAGCCCCTTTGGCCACATCTGCGTTCTTTCTGCAATATACAAGGGTTTATTTCAGGACAGCACACAACCTTGCACGTCTCCTCTGCCTCGGAACATTTTGCAACAGCCATCCCCATCTGTTCTGCGAAGACTGGTTGGCATCAGATCTTCCCAGTAGAAATTCTGGAGTAATTTGTTCATGTTCCGTTAGCATTAATTACACCCTCCAGAAATAACCGTTTGCTAGCCCCCGTTAGTTCCCAGCAATTCCTCGAGCTGACCTTGCCAGCAGCCAACTCCTGGCATCTGTGTCTTGAGGCTCTAAGTGAGATGTTGACATCATCTCCCTCTTTTGCTGTAGATGAGTTTTGCTCTTCTAATACCATTCAAAATGTTCTCTGATAATTCCGCCATCCATAAAACAATCTGTTACGTTAATGAAAAGCTTCACACTTTCAATTACAGAAAAGGGTTTTCTTCCCATTTTCACTGCCACCACTCCCAGTCATCCATCAAAACAGATTAAACCACTATCCTTAAATAAAATAAAATAAAATCCCCCACTCATCCAGATTGGCCTCCTATCATGAAGACGGGGGGGGGGGGGCTGACTCTCCAGAACTGCCATGTGGAACCAACCTGTTATCGTCCTCGGTGTTGTCAAAATAGGCAGCAACAAGCACAAATCAAAGCTATCCAAATAATGCATATTGCCAGGAATCTCAAAAATACAGCGCCGAAGTTATGAACATCCTGTGAAATCCAGAAAGCCATCATTTAGAAGAGCACGTCTCCATCTGGACTCAGATCTGTGCGGGTAAAAATCTCGGTTTGCCACAATTGCGAAGGGATCAAGCTGTACGTTTACAGGGGTGAGCATTTTGCACAAGTCCAAATGGGATTTTTTACTTTTTATTTGCAGATTCCTAAACTGTTTTGCAACCAAAAGTTACCATACCCATGTATAATAAAACCAAAATAGACTACAAAAGATTACATAGTAAATTACCTAAAAGCAATAATACTATCTCTACAGTTGTACAATTAATTCCGTAAAATGACTAGGCCATCCTTCAGGGAAAGTCTTCCTAAACAAAAATATCTCCAATAGATGTCAAAAACACCAGGCACTTGTCCCCTTTCCATTGGCAACTGATTCCAGAGGGCTGGAGTGGCAATGCTAAAAACCCGGTTTCTAGTGCACCTCAGGGCAGTACTCATAACAACGCCTTATCAAAGGCTTGTTTCCAGCACAGAGATGGAGAAATGTGTCAATTTCATATTATTTCAGTTTCTCATTTTTTTCAGTTCCGTTCTTGCTAAGTTCAGTTCTCCACATTTCCACAGCAATTTGCAGCTTTCATTTTTCAGTGTGCCCCAAAAAAATGGTCAGCATTTTAGAGCACATTTCTCCCAAAGGCCTCAGTGTAAAGGCAGTTTCCTAAGTTCCTATGTTCTTTCCCCACAAGAAGAAAAGAGGACTTTAACTTTAAGGCTAATAGAGGAACCAGGGGTGGGTGGGTTGTTGGGATCCCAGCTGGGGAGGAAGACATAAACTTCCCCTCCAAGCAAAATGTCACCCCTATGTATTTATTATTAACTTTATTTATTTTAAAGCCCCAATGAAAGTGTCCCCTTCTGCACTTATGATTTTTATTTTAATGCACTTTCTAAGGATGCATTTAATGTCCTGTCTTATTTTGACACACTAACACAAGCATAACAAGGGATACAAAAAGACAAAAGAGAGATTTCTCCGGAGACGAGCATTAAAAAATCAGGGCTGTCACTGTCAAATAAGGACATCATGCACAAACAGCCTAAACTATGGTTTTGAACCCTCGAGGCTGGCAGTGCCGCTTCTCCTGCATGACCCAGCTCTGCCAGGGCAATCAGTATTAAGAATGCCAGCACTGGGACGTCATAATCCCTTGCACAGCAAAGGCTCCTGTGTCACAAACGGAGGATTATGACCGCTGCAGGGGATTCCAGCGGAAACAGAAGCTGAGCTGGAAAGGAGAAAGCTCATCAGAACTCAGATGTCAGTGGATAGACGAAGCGGAATTTAAAGCAATTTGCCTGCCTCTGTTTTGTGTTCTCCCCCTGCCCCCCAGCAAAAACATTTCCCCATCCAAGGAGTCCTCTGTGGTCATTACCACTATATGCCTTAATGTCACTAAAAAGCCCATTGTGCGTGCCCAGATCCACGGCAGAGCATGTATCTGGCTGCCTTTGAAGGAGGGTTTGTCACCCTGCTGCATATCTGCAGTGATTAGACGCTGATACCACTCCAGATGTGGAGACCACAATGACCCCGCAGAGGGTGACTGCAAGCCCAGAGCAGTAATGCATGCAGAGGCTCAACAGCCAGCCTCCTCTGAGCATGTATAATTGTGCTACTGTTAAGGATTATTTGGAAATAAATAATAAAAATACTGTACGTAAATGTCCTTATTTAGATCTATGATGTGGCCACATTTGGAACAGACTGTGTGTGTACAAGTTTGGTTGCTGCCGCTTGAAAAGGAAGTTTATCGTTATTCTTACTTATTGAATTTGCCGTTTGCTTTATCTTGCCTAGCAAGATATACTAATGTGCACACAGATGACTTCAACTGCTTTCTGCAGAGTAGTTCTGGTGCATCCATCGGACTTCAATATCTAGAAAAACACCAAAATACCCAGTCAAAATACTCATCTATCATAAAAACCAAGCAAGATTTCAATATCTCCAGAACTCTTCATCAGGAAAAGCAGTGAAGAAAGAGAAATAAGCAGAAAGCGTTCTTGATGTTGATGCTACGAAATCTGCATTTTGTCAGGGTCTTAAGACATCACGTAGGAGGAGATTGTAGTCTTAACTGGATTAGTCCAGAATCCATAGTAGGGCAATACCTTTACAGTGGTACCTCGGGCTACAGGTGCTTCAGGTTACAGACTCCGCTAACCCAGAAATAGTACCTCGGGTTAAGAACTTTGCCTCAGGATGAGAACAGAAATCGTGCTCCGGTGGCGCGGCAGCAGCAGGAGGCCCCATTAGCTAAAGTGGTGCTTCAGGTTAAGAAAAGTTTCAGGTTAAGAATGGACCTCCAGAACGAATTAAGTTCTTAACCCAAGGTACCACTGTATTAAGCTAACACTACTTCCTTTGCTTTTTCTGTTACCTAGAAGTTAGGCGTCTGTTGTGGCGTTAATCTGATTATTCGGTGAATTAATCAACTAAATTAGCAGGGCATCCATCGCTGGCTCCCACTCAGATGTTTGACAGCAAATGAGGGAGAGCACACTGAATCCAACTCCCCACCCCACCCCAAATAACCAGGTGAGCAAGTGCGGGGGGGGCTCCGTACTTCCAGCCACTTCTCTCCCTGCAGAGAGACATGTAAGAGAGAATGTAAGAAAAGCACGCAGATACTTCATTTATTCTGCAGTTCCGAGTGGAAATGGGTTCTGGCAGAATTGGCCTGAGCCTCGAAGAGCACATTGCACTGGAAGAGGAAGTGAGAAAAGGTGACAATTATCCAGGAAACCTTTGTGCGCACAAGTATCATGTCAGAATCACATAACTGTAGAGTTGGAAGGGACGCCATGGGTCATTTAGTCCAACCCCCTGCAATGCAGGAATCTTGGGGGATCCTGCACTAGAGTATGGAAGCCAGAAAGCTGTGCCAGAGGATTTAATGTTTAGCTGCCCCTCCTCTCAAAAAAAGCACTGATTTTTCAAGTATTTAAACTGAGTCCACGACTCTGCAAGCAATCAATTACCTTAACATTTTTGTAAAAAAAATTGTTTCACAATCAGGACTGAAGATTCCATTGTAGTTTAAAAGAAATAATGGGAGGGGGGCATGGATAGGGCTTGTAAGCAGTCTCTGCATATTAACATCCTCCCCATCTTCGCCACCTCCCCCCCCCCACTCCACAAGATGCCCACTGATGAGTCTCCAGACAGATTGTACAAATGTCACGAAGGAAAAGGTCAGCGGATGGCGCTGGCTTGATAATATCTCCTACAAATCTGCTGCTGCTGCTGCATCCCACAGGGCATCTGGTCCATGAAGAGGATGCTGAATAGATGGGTCATTGGCCTGATGCAGCAAGCTCATCCCATGCTCTTAAATGACCTCCGACACTTGTGAATTGCAAGGGACATTCCTCTGAGATTCGCCAACCTGGTTTCCTCCAGATGATCTAGGACACCATCATCTTGACAAATGCCCTATTGGGGTGTGGCTGGTTATTCTTGCTGAGTCTACATGAAGGTTGAGGCCTGGGATGAAGAAGGAAGAACGAATACCTCTCTCCCCTCCTTGATGGTAGTGCAACATAGACCAAGATCTGATGGAGGATTTCCTGGATCTTCCATCTATACAGAGGCAGCTGCTAGATTGGGCAAACTTTAGCCCATTTGAGTGTCGGCTCTGGCCCAGCCCGCTCTTCCAAAGAAGCTATGGAGGGACACTGTGACCTGCCTCCATCCTGACCCCCATGCTGCAACCCTCCTCATCAGCCTGGTGGGGTGTCAGCAGCTCCCCCAAATCCTTGCATGCTCTGGCTTGCAAAGAGGTGATTCGTTACTGCACACCTATGGGGAGCAAAACCCAAGACAACACAATGCCACCCACTCCAATGCCACCCACTGCAGCCTGACCCCTATCCACAAGCCCTAGCGGGTTGTGTGGGGCTCCCCTCCATCTTGCACCCGGATCCTTTGCACATATACTTGGGAGCATGCCTGACAGAAAGCCATCGCTCCCAAGCAATGCACCCCGGGGTGCGCGTTTACTAGGGAAGCAGTCCCAGAGAATTCAAGTATGGAGCTCCCTCTCTCCAGAGTCTTGCACTCCATCCCCTACTACACACTTACTCGGGAGTAAACCGCAGAGGACGCATTGGAGTGCATCCCCTAAGCACTGCTGCCCATAAGACCTGGTGGATTCTGTGGGGCTCCTCCCAACCTTGCCCCCCACCCCTATAGGGTTGTGCGCTCATCTCACTCTATAGGCCGGGAGCCAGCGCTGTCCGCAGACACTTCCGGGTCACGTGGCCAGCGTGACAAGCTGCATCTGGCGAGCCAGCGCAGCACACGGAACGCCGTTTACCTTCCCGCTGGTAAGCGGTCCCTATTTATCTACTTGCACCCGAAGGTGCTTTCGAACTGCTAGGTTGGCAGGCGCTGGGACCGAACGACGGGAGCGCACCCCGCCGCGGGGATTCGAACCTACACGCTTACTCGGGAGTAAACCGCAGAGGACACATTCTTGTCCATCTCCCAAGCACTGCTGCTCCCAAGCCCTGGTGGATTTTGAGGGTCACCACCTCTCTTTCCTTCCCTCTCTCCCTCCCTCCATGCACCGCGATCCCCTACACGCTTACTCGGGAGTAAACCGCAGAGGACGCATTGGAGTCCATCCCCCCAGCACTGCTGCCCACAAGCCCTGCTTTCCCCCTCCCTCTCTCCCTCCTTGCACTGCGATTCCCTACAGGCTTACTCGGGAGTAAGCCTTAGCAGAAACCCCCTCCTCCTCCTGCTGCTGCTGCCATGCCCGCCTGTCTGGGCGTCTCCTGCGCAGGCATCGTCCGGCGGCCGCCCATCCGCGCCGCGGCGCGCCCAGTCAGCGGGTCGGGGCGGAGCCGGCGGCGGGCGGGCGAGCGAGCGGGAGGAGGTGCGCTCGGGCTGGATCAGCTCGTCTGCTGCTCGCCTCTCGTCCGCGATGGCCACCGACGAGCTGGCAGACAAGCTGAGCCGCCGCTTGCAAGTGGAGGAGCACAATGGCGAAGCCGAGCAGCAGCCGCAGCCGCCCGACCACCACCCGGAGGCCGAGACGGAGCCCGAGCCGCCGGCCTTGGACAGCGGCGCCGACGGCGAGCTGAGCGCCAAGTTGCAGCGGCGCACCGAGCTCAACGACCCCTCGCAGCTCTCGCCCGGCGGCGGCGCCCAGCACCGCGTCTTCAGCCCCTACACCGAGTTCCGCGAGTTCTCCCGGAGGCAGATCAAGGACATGGAGCGGCTCTTTCGACAGTGAGTGGCAAAGAGGTCTCTGAGCATGAGCAGAGTGCCTTCTCGCTTTTGCTTTCTTTTCCCCCCTCCCGGAATCTGGAAAGGCTGCGATGGGGGAATTTCTCTTCCTGCACCCGCCCCACCCCTCGCTCTGACCCGGGCAGCCTTTTCCCTCTCTCCCTCTACAGAAATGCGCTCTGTACTAGCTCAGGAGCCTTTCTGTTTCGTGCGTTCCAGGGGCTGCTTGTCTGCTTCGGTATTTCTGGTTGCCGAAGAAGAAACCCAGTTCGATTGGATGGAAGGGGCTGCCTTACATTTTATGCTGGTCCCCACAGCGTGGGGGTGGGGGCGTTAAAAAGGTCGCAGGGAGGAGATAGGATATGGTTAAAATTGGGGGTTAAAGTCGGAGTCTATAAACTCCCACATAGACACACCTTTTCTTCCATAATTTGAGATCTCCCCTTCTTTGTATGACATCAGCATGTCAGAGGTATTTTTAAGGTTATACGGAGAGGTTGCGGAGAACCCCACTTCTAGAGAAATGAGGTGTTTTGTTACAGCACTGCGTCTGCAAGTTTGAAGTCTGGGGCAGTGCTTGGATTCTGGGGATGGGGAGAGGCTGAGTGACAAATTAAAAAATCCCCAATGACCCCCATTCTCTCTCCCCCCCCAAAATGGTTTTGGCCCACTGATGGCTCCCCTCTATGCCTTCTCTAGAACTTCATTTTTTAAGCAACAACAACAACCACTTGTCATTCAAGTCCTGGCCTGGGGGCAAAGATTTTGGGGTGCCACCATTTCTCTCAAGTGCCCTCTTCTTTCTCTCTCTCCCCCCCACTTCACCAAGGTGCCAGGGCTTAAGACATTTGGATGCCAGATACAGAAAATCTAAATCCCCCCTTCTGTATGCACTCCCCTTGTACACTTATGAACATGGGTGCATTTGCACCGCCCAGTTTTCATGTATGAATGGAACCTGCCGAGACTGCAGCCGTATTGTGGGGTGGGTGGGGAGCACGGAGGGGATTTTCCCTTGTTTTCCTTACCTGTCTGGAAACCTTATTGCTCCTCCCCCTTTCCCACCACCACGTCACCACCACCAAATTCTGCTCCCTTTTGACAGAAGAAGGGGAGTCATTAGTATTCTGAGCCACACCAGGAGCAGGGAAATCCAGGGGGCAGAGGCTGGCTGGGTGAAAATGCGCTGCCTTAAATCTTTCCGGTTTTCCTGCAGCGCTGCAAACCCCGAACTGTTTTGTGCAATGTGCAGATCAGAAAAATAAAATGAATTCTCCCTCTCTCTCTCTTTGCAAAGAAAGAAAATCCAGACACCTACACACACGCGAGCACACACACACACACACACACAAATAACATCAAGAGGGTACAATTGCATGTGGGAATGAACCATCTCAATTTCCTGAAAGGCATGCTTGTGTGTGTGTGAGGGGGGGAGGGAGGGGGGAGAGACTAATGTGAGCCAGGCCTCAGCACTAGATTTACTAGAGATGGGGCAGGTGGGCATGTACAGAGTGCTCTTTGCTCACCATAGCTCGCTGCCACACACCTGTAGTTCGAGGCCAGGAGGGCAAGGTAAAGGTGACCCCCACCCTGCAAAGGCTCTCTGTGTAGAAGAGAGGAACACTTGGGCAAAGTCGGCCCATGGGTCCATTGAGCTCAGGATTGTCTGCAGTGTCTGGCAGATGCACCTTACCTGGAGATGCACCTGAGACCTGCATTCACAGCAGAGATCCTCTGCTGCTGGGCTGCAGTGCCCTTCCCCATGTAAAGGCATTTCCAGACAGGAACACTTCCTGCTCAGTGTTGAGTGATGCCCACCAAACCAGTCCCAAGGGGGGAGACTGCATCTCTGAGACCTGGGCCGCCCTAGAGAAATAAGCCCCTATGATGATGCAAATGTAAAACCAGAGACATCTTGCTCCTATTTTCCTGGCAGACCTGACTTTTCTGTCTGTAAAGGCATTTCCGCTTCGGAAGAGCTGGGTTGCAAGAGGCAAAGTGACACAGCAAGGACCGCCATACCTTTCCCAGCTCCCTGTTCTTTCTTCTGCCACAGCCCTATTCTGGGCTAGTTTTTGGGTGCAAGAATTCCAGGGCATGCCCTCAGAGGACTGCTGTGCTTTTTTGATCCAGATGAGTTGCCTGCATGTCTGATAAAAATGGACATCCCCTTGGGCTCTCTGCACAGTTTCCATTTGTGCAGGCCATGTGCTAAATTCTTTAGTAACTCGCTAGCCCCAGCCTTGGGTCCCTGGATGTTGGACTACATCAGTCAATAGTCCAACATCTGGACTATGGCCAATAGTAAAAGGTGATGCGAGCTGTGGTTCAGCTACAGATTGTACATCTGTAGAAATAGTCATATAGATTTTAATGTCGTAATGGGATTCTTTGATTGTGTGTTTTTAATTATCCTGAATCTTAACAATGTTGTGTGATAGGTTTTTATGTTTTTAGCTGGGCATTTAGTAGTAAATAATAATAATAATAATAATAATAATAATAATAATAATGCATAGTTAGTAAGACAGAATGATAATCATAGAGGAACAATAATTGTGGAAATGGTTTTGTTTTTTAGATTGTGTACTTTTTTGTGTTTTGCTTCATTGTTACCTTTTCTTGTGCACTGTTTCAAGGGCTGTGAAGCAGTTTATACAGTTGTCAAATAAATAAACAAACCCAACATCTGAGGACCCAAAGTTGGGAAATGTTCCAGGAGAATAAGTCACATAGGAGGACAGCTCTGCCAATGGCTGTTAGGTGTGATAGCTCAATAAAGCTCCCTTATTAGGTGCAGCAGACCCAGATTTTCGGGGGTGAACAAGTTGTGACAGCTGTTGTCTTCTTGCCATAGATCTCCATCTGATAATTGTTGGAAGCAGATGGACCTACCTTGACCTGTTTAAGCAAGGTTGCCCTTAACAAATGGCACAAAATAAGACCTTGGCTTCAGGCAGGAGTAGCCAATGTGTTACCATCCAGATGTTGCATCTCCCTTCAGTCCCGGCCAGCAGTCAGGGATGGGAATTTTAGTCCATAACATCTGTAAGCTGCCTATGAAGGCACAAGCCCTCAGGTCCCTACGCAACTCGATCACAAATTGTCCTTTTCTGTCCTTGTGCAATGCAGTCACAAGCGCACTCAAGCCCTCGTGCCTTGCACAACCTTTACAGCTGATCTGCAGTGTGTTCTTACGAGAGGCTATGAAATGTTTTTTGCTTTAGATCCCTGGCCTCATCCTTCACCTCCCCACCAAACCCCCCCCCACCCTCTAAACTCAAAGCCACTCATGCTGGTTTGCAGTGAAACAGCTTAACGTTCCATGGAATAGGAAGTAGTCACTGCAGACTCTTCTCTGTCTGGGCTAGAATGAGCTAAGATTGGGCTTGGTCAAATGGCTAAGGATTTGATGATGAAACAACTATATGTGTTTAAGAAAAAGACTGACCTGTAAAGGGAAAATTTAAATGTTTGATGTCTTACTTTGTTGGAGTGGTTAGGGCAACCCAGTCAGATGGGCAGGGTGCAATTTTATTATTATTATTATTATTATTATTATTATTATTATTATTAGTTCATCAGCTTCAGAAGCTGAGATAGAACAAGTTTCGCTGTCACACACAGTACATTTCTCCACTTCCTCTCTGGCATGTGCAATCAGACCAGGAAGTCTCTTAATTCCATATCGGTTCCTGTTTCATCCAAACCAGGAAATTATAGTTAGCAGTTTCAGAATAAGCCAGGATATAAAACCTCAGTTTGAAATTGGCTTAATGCCTTGGCTTGTTCCTATGTGGGTAACTCTTGTTTCCCAGAGTAGAAAAATACAGGAAACTATATTTAATTACAGGTTTATTAGTTTGATTGCTTGGTTGCAGCAGGAAGAACAGTTGTGGATGACGATCCCCAAAGCCACAGCAGCATGGCTAGTGCTCAGGAATTATGGGAGTTGTAGTCCACAACATCTGGAGGGGTACCACGTTGACTCTCTCTGACATGTGAAGAGAGAAGCTTTAACCTTTTTCTACACTGCCTTCCTGGTGCAAATCCCACCCCTCCCATGTTGAAAATCAGGAGTGCCCCACTCCAGTCACTTGCTGCTGCTGCTGCTGCTGCTATTGCTATTTCTGTAATTATTATTTTATTGGTGTTTAAAGTGGGATGTTCAGTGCTGTGTCTAGTTGGATCCTCAGTGTTGTTGAACTATAAAGCTCCAAGTGTTTTAGTCTTTCTTCATAGGGCTAGAGAGGTCCCCTGCCACAGTTTAACTCAGACTTATAAATGACCGCTCCAGGTGGGGAAAGTAGAATATGCTGCTGGAGATGATCTTTCTGGTTTAAATTACAGAAGCTGCAGAGAGACAGCAGGCAGGTGAACCGTGTTTAGTGTTTCTCTTTTGAAATCCAGCCTTTTCAGCACCTGAAATCTGGTATCACACTGGAGCCTGCATTGGGTCAGAACCTCTTGCTGCTAAATTCCTCTACCTGTGTCCGTTGCTGATGTCAAGCCAAGGTCCTCTGTGGTGAAAGAGGCAGCCGCTTTCCTTAGCAAGGGAAACATAAAGCGGGCTGGAGTGCTGGGGGTGTCCAGAGCACTTGAACCACTCCCTCTGAAGTTGCCTTCCTTGTTTGAAATGCGTCCTTGGCTGCAGTGCAGGGTTGAGAGTGTGATTGCAGATGAGAGGCTGGCCAGGAAAGAGAGAGGAAGTTGCAGGCTGATGCACCCAGGAAGCTTGCCCTAATTCATTCACCCCGTGCTGTGAAAATGCAGCAGAACAGAAAGGAGTGTGCACAGATGTAGCAAAGCAGCGTAGCAGCGACTGTGTCACCTATCTTTTGCAAACCCGTGCTAAGAGGGAGCAATCAAATATTAGCTGAACAGGAACGTCCTGCGAAAGTTATTTGTCTGAATGACCCAAATGCTGCAGCAAATTCTGATCAGTTAGCCCAGGGATCATAGAATCACAGAATTGTAGCGTTGGGAGGGATTGTCTCGTC